TCACGATCAAGTTATGATAGAATATGGAGATATTGCTGAAGAAGTTATTGATAGTAGTGAAGGAGGACATATTCACCGACATCGCCGTCTTGACAGATATGGAGGTAATGATGATGTTGTAGATAGAGATATTATGTTAGTAGACGAGGATGAGGATGAAGATGAAGACGAAGACGAAGATGAAGACGAAGTAGATGATGTTGAAGAAAATGTATTAGATGGTGGAGATGTAATTGATGATGGTTATGATGATAGTTTAAATTGGGGGAGTTGGAATCAGCCCGGATCATTGTTCGTAAATGATGATGATTTTACAATTCCAGGTCGTCCAGGTCGTACTTTATTTAGCTTTGGAAACCGAAGACATCGCCATCTTCCTGGTCGAAGAAACCTTATAGAAGTTCCTCAAGATGGTCTTGATTATGTAATTGGAGATCCTGTTGGTTATGGATTTAATTTTGGTACAAATGAAGAAGTAGATATTCCAGGATTAGGACGAAATCGACCTCTAACAAGCACAAACGACGAAGTTACTACTCACCCCCTACTAGTTAATCGATCACCAGCCGTTCCTTCAGTGACCGCTAACGAACTTACTAGAGGAAGAAATATTCGCAATGGACCTTTAGGTGATTGGACTCAATCAATTGAAGAATTAATCGGAGGTGGTGCTGTTCAGTTATTAGAACAATTACTTACTAGAAGTCGTGGTTTAGGCCATTCAACATACCGACTTGAACTTAACACATCATCGCCCGCATTGGTAAGCAACATTGAAGTCGATCGGGTCTTCCCAAGATCTCTTTCGACGTCTCAAGATTCCCACAACGTAACTGTTCCCAGTGATCCAATTACTGCTGTACAAGAATTTATGCCACATTCTACTTCTCAACGTTGGTATGACGAAGCTCGAATGATGTACGGTGCTTCAGTATCAGAGAAAGCCACAAAACTTGTGAACCATATTTTGAACGCATTGATACCCCTAGCTTTGGAGGAAGACAAAAAAAGAAAAGTGAAAGAAGAAGAAGAAAAGCAAAAAAGAGAAGAGAAACGACTTCGAGAAGAAGAACGACGAAAAACTGAAGAAGAGGCAAGAAAAAGAAAAGAAGAAGAAGAAGCAAGACTTCGAGCAGAAACGGAAGAAACTTCCGAAACCCAAGTTACAGTCGAACAAACAATGAATGAAACAATGAATGAAACAATGAATGAATCAATGAATGAATCAATGAATGAATCAATGAATGAATCAATGAATGAATCAATGAATGAATCAATGAATGAATCTGAAGAAGTTGTTGAAATTACAGAAGTAACAGAAATAGTTGATTTACCAGATGTCATGCAAGAAGACGCCCCAATAGTTGAACAAGAAATTCTAATAGAATCTTCGGCAATGGAGGAAGAACCAACTCCTGCGGTGGACCTCACTATGGATGAAGATGTATCTACTACATCAGCCGTTGCCGGTTCATCACAAGCGGCGGCAAGTGAAAACGCGGTAGAAGCTTCAGAAGAAACTCAAGTCGCTAGAACTACTGTCGTAATCAATGGTCAAACAGTAGATATCACAGATACTGGAATTGATCCAACTTTCCTTGAAGCATTACCTGAAGAACTAAGAGAGGAAGTTCTTAACCAACATTTACCACCCGAAAGACGTAATAGAAATCCCGTCCCAAGTGGACCAGGTGGACCGGGTGAACCAATCAGTTCAGAATTTTTAGCTGCTTTACCCGATGATTTAAGAGAAGAAATTATGCAACAAGAAGAAGCTTTTGAACAAGAAAGGTTAAATCGTCACCGACCAACAACAGAACCGGCCGCTACAGATATGGATGCAGCAAGTTTCTTTGCTTCATTAGATCCCCAACTTCGTCAAACCGTACTTCTTGAACAAGATGAGATGGTTCTTGCCTCATTACCTCCTGCCATAGTTGCTGAAGCCAATGCACTTCGAGAAAGAGTTAGTCGAAGATACACAAATGCGGTTAGAACTCGGACATTACCAAGTTCTTCTACACCACAAATACATGCACCTAAAAAACCTACAACTCAACGTGACGCAATGAAACTCGTGGATTCTACAGGATTGGCTACATTAGTTAGATTGTTGTTCTTACCTCAACCTTTAGGAAACAAAAATTTGTTACTCAAGTTATTGCTCAATCTTTGTGAAAATAACAAATCACGTGGAGAACTTATCACAATGCTTCTTTCAGTTTTATATGAAGGAAGTGGGGATGTATCAGCAGTTGATAAAAGTTTCGCACAAATGTCTCTAAGAGCAAAAGGGACAACAAAAGGAACTCCCAAAAGACAACAAAGTTTACCAAATTCTTCTCTTGCACAAATAACTCAAGCAGCGGGAGAAAATGTACCTAATTTAATAGCACAGCGATGTTTAGAAGCATTAACATATATAGTTAACTATAATGAAGCATCAGTTAACTATTTCTTGATGGAACAAGAAAATAACATTGGTCTTAAAAGATCGAATAGTCGTAAAGGCAAAGAAAAACAATCAAAAATAATAAGTAAATATCCAGTAGTTATATTATTAAGCTTACTCGATCGACCAGTTTTCTTAAAAAATACTGCATTGATGGATCAATTAATGCATTTACTTTCATTTGCTTTACGTTCTCTGTCGACTATGGCTAAAAGTGAATCGTCTAGAGAACCATCAAATCCTGTCAATACCAATTCTACAACAGAAAATAATAATGAATCAAACAATGCCAATAATTCAAATAATTTAAATCAAACATCAAATAATTCAAATAATAATAATAATCCCGATAATAATAATCCCGATAATTCCAATAATCCCGAAAATCCTAATAATTCCAATAATTCCGATAATTCACAGCAAACATCTTCACAACAACAACAAACGACTACACAACAAACGTCTATTACACAAACGACTGCACAACCACCACAGCAACAAACATCTACACAACAACAAACGACCACACAACCACAACAAATATCTACACAACAACAATCATTAAACCAAAATTCCGAAAATGGATCGGGTCAAGCTCAATCTCAAGAGAGTACTACTAATAATCAACAAGAAAATTCTACTAACAATAATAATGATGGTAATTCTAAAGGTGAAATTTTAAAACCTTCAGAAGTTATGAAACCTCCAGTAATTCCCGAATATTGTTTGCGCCTAGTAGTAAACGTTTTAACTGCTGGTGAATGCACTAGTAATACATTCAAATATACATTGTCAGTAATTCAACATCTTTCAACTCTAAAAGGTGCCAAAGATGTTATAACATCAGAATTAGTTGAAAGAGCACAATCACTTGGAAATGATATATTAGATGACTTGGATGAATTGGATAGGATATTATCTAAAGCGGATAGTGGTGTAGATGTTCAAGGTGTGACTTTAGCGAAGTTTTCACCCTCATCTTCAAAACAAGCGAAATTACTTCGTGTCCTTAAAACAAATGATTATATGTATTCCCGAAAACAATCAAGTTCTACATCAAACACTCAAGTTTCATTAGCTCCTACAGTAGATCCGGATGAAGTAGATAGTGCTGTTCCACGAACATTAGATAATAAAAATAATAAATTAACGGAGGATGAAGAGAAAGTTATGAAAATATATGATAGTCTTAATTTCTCAGAACTTTGGAAAAAATTAGGTAGATGTTTGACAACAATACAGGAAAAATCAGACATGATACATGTAGCGACCGTACTTTTACCACTTATTGAATCACTAATGGTTGTATGCAAATATGTTGGAATGACACCATCTACAACTCAAAATATAACATCATCTATTTCCTCAGAAAATAGGGAAAGTAAAGAGGAATTATTCTTTACCTTTACGGAAGATCATCGCAAAATACTAAATACAATGGTTAGAAACAATCCTTCATTAATGAGTGGATCATTTTCATTGCTTGTACATAATCCTAAAATTCTTGAATTCGATAACAAGAGAAATTATTTCAATCAACAATTACATAAGAGAAGTCCAGTTCGAGATCATTATAGTACTTTACAACTTAATGTTAGAAGACAATACGTATTTGAAGATTCATTCCAGAACTTGCAAAGAAGAACCGGAGATGAGATTAAATATGGTAAATTAAGTGTTCGTTTCTATGAGGAAGAAGGTGTGGACGCAGGTGGTGTAACGAGAGAATGGTTCCAAGTTCTGGCCAGACAAATGTTCAACGAAGATTATGCACTATTTAAAACATCAGCAGCAGATAGACTTACATATCAACCAAATAGAGCTTCAGGAGCAAACCCCGAACATTTATTATTCTTCAAATTTGTTGGTCGAGTTATAGGTAAAGCAATTTATGATGGAAGACTTTTGGATGCATACTTTACACGTTCATTCTATAAACATATACTCGGAAAAGCTGTTGATTATCGAGATGTAGAAGCTATTGATTTAGGTTATTATAATAGTTTAGTATGGATGTTGAATAATGATATCACGAATGTTATGGACTTGACATTTAGTGTTGAAACGGATGATTTTGGTCAAAAGAAAGTCTTTGATTTGAAACCTAATGGAAGGAACATCCCTGTCACGGAAGAAAACAAACGTGAATACGTTACACTTGTCACTGAACAAAAACTTACATTAGCTATTAAGGATCAAATAGAGAATTTCCTTGCCGGATTTCATGAAGTTATTCCTGCACATTTGATCAGTATTTTCAATGAACAAGAATTAGAATTGTTAATTTCAGGAATGCCGGATATTGACATAGATGATTGGAAGAATAACACAGAATATCAAAATTATACAGCTTCTTCACCTCAGATTCAATGGTTCTGGAGAGTTGTAAGAAGCTTTAGTCAAGAAGAAAGAGCGAAACTCTTACAATTTGTTACTGGCACATCTAAAGTGCCATTAGAAGGATTTTCTGCATTACAAGGTGTTCATGGTGTTCAAAAGTTCCAAATTCATAAAGATTTTGCAAAACCAGATCGTCTTCCTTCTGCTCACACATGGTAAGTTAAATTCATTAAATTATGTATTAAATTGCTTATTAAACTGTTTATTTATACATTTATTTATTTATTTTATTGCATTTTACAAAATAGTTTCAATCAACTTGATATTCCCGAATACGAAGATTATGAGCAATTAAGAAAACAATTATTACTGGCAATCTCTGAAGGAACAACTGGATTTGGTTTCCAATAAATGGTTTTTATTTGTTTTATTTGTTTTATAAGTTGATAGTAGAATCACATTAGACATTTGTATAAACATTTCTTTAAAATATTTATCTTGTTTGGGGTTTACAATACATTGTTTATTTAAAAAAAAAATGTATTGATTTACATTGTAATTTCATTTTAATTTTTCATTTTTTCAATTTTTTCTGGAAAATATTATTTGCTTTTTATAATTATTTTTTTTTTTCAATTATTATTTTTTTTTCAAATACTCTTTATTATTTTGTATATTTCTTTGTTATTTCTTTGTTTAGGTAGTTTTTAAAGATTTGGTTGACCAATCTTTTACATCAAACCTGAATTATTATAATAAACAAAACTTTCTTCAAAAATGCTATTTTTTTATTGATGCGTCAAATGGATAAAATCATGACAATACAATATAAAAATTAAAGTAATTAATACAACTAATTTACATTCCAATTATTTAATTTATTTCTATATTTGATATGTAAATAAATGCTGTGTCTATAATTTGTGAAAATTGTTAAATCATTATAAATTATGTTTGCATGTTTACTTAAAATACGTAGAAATACAGCATTTACAAAATAAAATAAAAATATAAATACAAATAATAATAATTCATTAATCCACGACTTTTGTTAATAAAAATTCTGCGATTTCTTCAAAATATCCTTCCTGCGAAACTGTATCTTGATGTGATCCAAATGGAAATTGTTTAAGTTTCTTTCCACCTTCAGTTTTAACCAAATCGTGTAACTGTTTAACGTGTTCTTGAGGTATAAGCTTATCCGCATCTCCAGATAGAAATAAAACCGGAATTCGCTTAATAAGTTGTATAGATTTTTCGGAATCCCATTTTTGAGTACAGCAAAACGAAAAGTGACGAAGTTGTGGTATAACATGTGGCAAAAGTTTTGGCTAACAATTTTAAATAAAATAAATAAATTAAATTAAATGAGAAAAAAAAAAAGATGTATATTGAAATTATCTACTTACTATACTAAGGAAAGTATTTTCAACAATCAGACCCGCAACCTAATCATAATAAATAAAAAAATAAAAAAATAAAAACAGAGAAAATCAAAAAAAAATAAAAAATAAATAAAAGAGAGAAAAGCACAAATACCTTATCCTCATTTTTTGATACTAAATCAATTGCCACGGCACCACCAAGTGATTGTCCATAAACTATTACTTTGGTATGCCTGAATATATCATGTTTATCAATGTAATCTAACACAGTCTTTGGTATAAAAGAAAATAATTTTATTAATGAAATAAGAAATAAAAAATAAATGAGATAAAAAAATAAATGAGATAAAAAATAAATGAGATAAAAAATAAATGAGATAAAAAATAAATGAGATAAAAATAAATGAGATAAAAATAAATGAAATAAATAAAACTTTTATAATTCTTTACTTGTGCATCTATCCGAAGTCCCTTTTCTGAAGGAGTTCCTTCACTAAGTCCATATCTAAAATAATAATTATGAATAATTATCAAAAATTCCGTAATTAATCTCGACAATAAAATTGCATATAATCTTTTTCTTACCCTCTATAAGACAACATTACCACATTACATTTGAAATTTTTATAAAATTGTTTAGCAATAGGTAAACAATGTCCCTTTGTCCAAATAAATTTTTAATTTTTTATCAATTAACATAATAAAATATTTTTCCACATAATATATTCATTTAATAAATATTATATTCTACCATATTCCCTGCATTTCCCTGAATCAAAATTAAAATATATAGAATTTAATAATATGTAAAATTTAATGGACTATTACATATGCATTTCAGAATACGCACATGAAATAACAAAATAGTTGGCCTCGTCCGAGCTGTAATATTATCTCCCAGCTGTAATACATAAATTCGAATTTTTACATTATCCTTGGTGGTTAATGTTATATCTTCATAATGTGGTATCCCGTAATCTAAAGGCTCTGATACCTTTTATATAACAAATATAATGAGTCGGAACATAGTATTATGAATTTCATAATCATAAAACTAGTTTCATACTTCTTGTCTTGAGCCTTCCGGGTAATTTGGAAGATATATTATATTGCACTGGAATGAACCAAGAAATTTTGCGCCGTCGGCCAAAAATTTACAATATCTAGTAATGGAATTCATTCTTTTATTGTATAATTTGATAATTTGAAAATTGTGTTCTGGTTAAAACCTTATGAGTCACGCGTAATGCGTCGTATGCATCTTATTATATACACACCTAAACTATTATTGTTAAAGCTCACCGCCGGGCAAAATTACATAATTCCCTGATCAACCCTAACCCTAACTTTGCCCATGTAATTTTTAGCAATTTTCTTATAAAAAAATAAATAAATAAAACAATTTTAAAACATACAGAGATATATAATCAGTAAAGAATCAGTAGATTTTTTTTATGTTTTTTCTTTCTTTACATATAAAATTAAATTATATTTTCAAACTATCACATGACCTAAAGAATATCCATTATACTAAGCATTACTATATATTAATAGTTTCCAGTGATTCATATTAGGAGTGTGTAAACAAACATAATTTAAAATACAATTATTTTCTTAATTTTACTAGTGTAATTTATACAAATATTGATATGCATGCATATATTACAAAATATCTCGCATATCTTGAACATGCTAATTTTTTCTAGCGGTACAACATTTTTCTATATCATTAATTATTCGGTTCAATGATTTGGAATGAAATAAATAGGCTCCATGATCCAATCCTCTCATTACATGAACATTAATATTATTCTTTACAAGATATCTATGTACGTCGCCTGACGGAACAATATTATCGTGTTCTGATAGGTAGATGTAAGTGTTTGCTT